TTTCCCATTCTGTAGGCTGCCATTTTGTCTTATTGACTGTGTCCTTTGCCTTACAGAAGCTTCTCCATTATGTGGCTAGATCTGTTTGGGGAGCCAGTGGTAGTGGTACTAGGACTTATTCCAGGTGCATGGAATGGCTTTTTTGGAACACATTCCCTAGGGTAGGATACCTTACTCAGCCTTGACACAGGGAGAAGGGCCTTGGTCCTGCCTCAGCTTAGTATGCCAGACTTTTAATGCTTTTAATACTCAGAGAGGGTAAGGCAGGCCTTACCCTCTCTGAGGAGCAGATGGTGGTGGGATGGAGAGAGGTGAGGGAGATAAGAGAAGGGGAGGGAGGGAGAACTGGGATTGGTTTGTAAAATGAAAGAGAAACTAGGCCGGGCGGTGGTGGCACACGCCTTTAATCCCAGCATTCGGGAGGCAGAGCCAGGAGGATCTCTGTGAGTTCAAGGCCAGCCTGGGCTACCAAGTGAGTTCCAGGAAAGGCACAAAGCTACACAGAGAAACCCTGTCTCGAAAATCAAAAAAGAAAAAAAAAAAAAAAGAGAAACTTTAAATAATAATAATAAAAAAAAACGAGAGGAGAAACTCCAAGTACAAAATTAAAAACACATTTCTAAATAAATAATCCTCAGATCTAATAGTAACTCTTAATGGAAATATAAAAGTATATTGGATGAGAAGAATTGAAAATACAACACAGGAAATCTTTTGAGACACAGCAAGGACAGTGCTGGCAGAAATTTGCAACGTAAACTATTCTGTAAAAAAGATGTTAAGTTTTGCGTCATTGACTCTGCCACCTCAGGAATCTAAACTAGGGAGGGAGAAATGAACTCAAAGTGAAAAGGAAGGAAATAACAAGGAGCAGAAAGAGAGATGACACACCCTGTGAGTATCAGGAACAAAGCAGGTTTTACCTCAGAGCTGTGAGACCCCAGAAGGATTAGAAAGAGGAGTGTGAATCACTCAGCACACTCTCCTGTGCTGACAGAAGAGATGAGCTGATTTCTCAGAAAACACAGATGCTGCAAAGCACCTCCTTGAAATTGGGCAGGCTCAATAACTAGCTGAATTTGTATAGGCTTATAACCCTTAAGGAAATTAAATTTGTGACTTTAAAAGTCTTCAAAAAGAAATTTCAGTCCCAGATGTTATTAAAGATTTCTCCCAGACATTTGGAGAATTAATAGCTAGACTTCATTTCCAAAACAATTATACACATGCCTTCCAGAGAAGAAAAACGATCAAATTCCAATTCATTTAATGAAGTTACTATAACCCCTTTATTTTGTAAATATAGATGAGACTATTATTACATTCATATGAGAAATAAAGTAACTAAAAAGGAAGAATGTATTGAAAGGGATGAATTCCCCGGTTCTGTGATTCATGAGATAATGAAGAGTATGATCTGTTGGTAGAAGAGCCAACACACATATCAGCCAATCGGAATAGAGAAGTCCAAATACAGAACACCACAACATGACCCACCTGATTGGGGTAAGATTCTAAAATAATTTGATGAAAGAAAGACAGCCTTGTTAGGAAATAATACTGGTGCCATTGATATTCACAGGCACAAAAATAAAAATTTGAATTGACCTGTTATATACTTTTCACATAACATATAAAAATTCAATGAAAGTGAGTCCTCGGTAGAAATGTAAAATAGGGTATAAAATTTTTCACATGAGAGAAGTGTTCTGTCGTCCTGTGAATAGCCTTAGACATGCTACCAAAACCATGATTTGTGAGAGAAACTTGACAGACTCTCCTCCATTACAATGGAAAAGATTTTGCTGTGCAAAAAGATAGAAGTCAATAAATGGACTTTTATAAAATTAAAAAGCTGCTTTGAAAGAGACAGTGAAACACAGGGTTAGATCGAGTATTTATAGGACACAATTCGAACAGAGGAACGATAGCTGGCACGCACATTCTCTAAAGTTGCAAAAGAAAAACACCCGACTTCCCTGCCCCCCAAAGCTGTCACCAGCCCAAGGCTGCATCACTCTTTGCTTCAGTCGTGTGGGCCGTCTGTAGGTTGTCCATGCTCCAGCTGCTGACCCTTTATCCATGAGCATCCAGACAGCACTAACTGTACTCTCAGTGCATTGTGAAGAAGAAAAGAGAGGGTGAGAGGAAGAGGAGGGGGAAGAAGAAGAAGGAGGAGGAGGAGGAGGAGAAGGAGGAGAAGGAAAAGGAGAAATGAACTTGGGAGGAGGATGACATGAGGGCATAGATCCAGCAGGAGTTTGAGAATGGGGTGAGTTGGGTATGGATACACTGTATTCATATATGAAATTACCAAAGAGTATGTAATTTTAAGAAACAGAAAGAAATGCACAAAAACTTTACCAGAAAATAACAAAATCAGAATAAATTATTTATACATGTCACACCCTGATAGAATTGCCAGATATTATGCTAAGCGAAAAGCCAATCCCTGAAGCTTATGAACGATATGATTCCATTTATAGCTGTATAGCCTGGGGCTTAGCTAGCAACTCAAAAACACCCTGCCTCAGCCTCTTGAGTGTGGGGATTATAGTATGTACCACCATGCTCACACATTAGATCTTTTGTGTGTGTGTGTGTGTGTGTGTGTGTGTGTGTGTGTGTGTGTGTGTGTGTGTGTGTGTGTGTATTCAGGTGACTGAGTGTGGGTGTGTCAGGTTGGGAGAAGGCCAGAGGACAACTTACAGAAGTTAATTCTCTCCTTCTGTAATGGTTGCTGGAGATTGAGCTCAAGTTATCAGGCTTTGGAAAATCTCTCGCTCCCACCACATTTTTTAAGGATCTTTCACTGATTTTGGAGCTCAGCAGGTAGGCTAGTCTGGCTGCCCATTCTGCATTCTCAATGCTAAGAGTGCAACAGTGTACTATCACACCAGGCTTTTTTTGCCTTGGTTCTGGGGTTTGAATTTGTGTCCTCTTGCTTACAAGACAAGAACTTTCATGCTTGAACTATTTCTCCAGCCTAGCTATACAGCACTTTTAAAGTCAGAGCATTACAGAAACTGGGACTGTCTCCAAAGAAGGGGTTGTTGGGAGAGAAGAGAATAAGGCCATAGAAATGTCACACTAGTAATTCTGAGGTTTTTCAAGTGTTCTGTGTCTAAACTATATCAATGCCAAATCATGACTGTAATAACAAAGCAAAATTTAACTTATATGAGGTAAGCTGATAGAATTTGGATCATTTAAGAAAATGGAATAGCTAGTCCAAATGTACACATACATTTCTAATGGATAATTTTTAACATTTTTATTTATGTAGGAATATATGAGTATGATAGTGCCCACAGAACCTGGAAGAGGGTATCTGATCCCTTGGAGCTAGAGTTATAGACAGTTGTTAGTTACCTGGTACGGATGCTGGGAACTGAACTCAGATACTTTAGAAGAACAGCATGTTTTCTGAACCACTGAGCAGGTCTGAAGTCCCAGTTAATCTTAAGAATTAGGAAAAATAAAATAAAAACAGAAAAAAATGCTGGGGCAATGGTGGCACACGCCTTTCGTCCCAGCACTTGGGAGGCAGAGCCAGGCAGATGTCTGTGAGTTCAAGGCCAGCCTGGTCTGCAGAGCGAGATTCAGGATAGGCACCAAAACTACACAGAGAAACCCTGTCTCAAAAAACTAAAAAGGAAAGAAAAAAAAAAAAGAATTAGAGTTAATTGCTTATAGTTCTGTGCCTAGGGATGGTTTCCCACAAACATTTGTTGCACCCATGTTAGCATAATGCTGATATTATTATTGTTCTGGTCTTGTTTATGCAGCCATTTCTAGGAGAGACTGTTTCATAGCACATTTCCAGATACCCTGACTATTACAATATGTCTGCCCCCTCTTCTGTTACATTCCCTTGAGGCATAGATGCAGAAGCTGTGATGAAGATGTTGAACTCACACCCCCCAAATCTTTAAATCTTGGTATTGCCTTTAGTATGATTTTCTGTGGTGGTCTCCATTTGCTATAAAGAGTAGCCTCTTTGATGAGGGATGGTAGAAAAGAGGTAGAATGCTGGTCTAGCAAAGTGGTGGTAGTAGAAATATAATAAAAAAAAGAGACTATCAACCTGAGAGTGAGGGGGTATGGGAGGGGGTTGAGAGAGGGCAACTGGGAAGGGATTGAGGGGAGGGAAGGAAAGGAATGGGGGAAGTGATGTAATTCAATTTCAATTTAAAGCATTAAAATTTTTTTAAAAGGACATGAACTAGAGGGGATGGGGAGCAGATATGGAAGAACTGGGGTGTGGATGTGATCAATATAGTGTATAAAATTCTCTAAGGATTAATGTAATATTCTTTTTATAAAAGAAGAATTACAATTAAGAAGAAAGGGTGACATTCAGGCCCGAAGGCACTGCAAGTGTTTTTCTTCTTCTTCCCGGAACCTCAGCACATCGGGTTGGGGGAGTGTGAGGTCGGAGTCCCGAGGAGCAAGGTTATCGATATTGGTGAAGACTAGAGAGACTGCTTTCAAAAGCACTTCTGCTTTAGAAGCCTTTGCAGCTGTGGCTGTCACTGCATCCTTCTGTGTGAGAAACATTACAGTAAAGGCCAGATAGCTGGCTTTTTTTTTTTCATTTCTTTTTGTGAGTGAAATATGTGGAGTAATTTAGTGGATTGCAATTGCAAAGCCAGACCACCTCCTCAAATGTCATATTGAAATCACCACTAAAAAGGAATAGTAAAATACTGGAAGAAGGAACACTGGTAATTTTAGCTTTCCATTCTGGCAAGTGATGGAGTAAGAAACGAGAATCGATGCCCAAGTATGATGAGAGCTGATTTTTCAAGACCCCTGGCCACATACATAACCCTTTAAAGAAGAAATGTTTTTAGATCTGTACCCATTGAATAACAGATCCCTGTACCGCCCCTTCCAGCTCTTGATGGTCTCTATTTTAATTTATGTCCTCAAATACATCTTTTCTAGGCATGCTGTATTCATGGAAGCACAGAATATCTGTCCTTTTGTACCAGGGTTATTTATTCATTTAGCATTTCTTCAAGGTCCATCCATGTTGCAAATGCAACTTTTTTTTGTTGTGATTTCAAATTCTAGATGAACCATTTTTTAAAAAGAGACATTTTCAGAGTCATGCCAACCTCGTCTTTTCACACATTTTGTTCCTCTCAGAGATGTTTTCTGGTCACTCTGTCCTGGTTTCCTCTGAGACATTCTTTAGGCCTCAGCTTAGCAGACATTTGTTCAAAGAGGCTTTTCTCAAACCAACAAATCTGGTCAGGCCATGCTGTTACAGTCTCCCATTGTATGATTCTCAGCTGAATCTCTTGTTTACATCACTACTTTAACTCTTCTTCCCAAAGCTGGCTATCGGAGACTATGGATTGCATTTGCTCTTTTATCTTGTGAAATGTCTGGAACTTAAATGTTGCTTGGTGTCACTGGCTCTTCAAACCTTTCTTATTATCTGTGGAGCAAAAGAACAGCTTATCTAATGCAATGAGGGTGATCCAAAAACAGGCTTTTTAATGCCCAGCTTTGGCATCAAATGACTGCAATCTTGGGACATAATTTAAATGATATAACAGTCTACTTCTGTTAGAAATGACTAGAATAAATGCATACCAAAGCTCCCTTAAGATAACAGTTTATTTATGTGCATATCATCATAACAAAAAAGTCTAATGTATGTTGGTAATTCTGACATTGTACATGTGATAACCTTTAAAATTGTTTGAATTAATCATTTCTGTTTAAGTCAAATGAAGGGGAATCATTTATATAACTATAAAAAAGAACAGTGATTGGGGTGTATATTTCACTAAACTATTCATAATCCTTTCCTTTTTTTTTCTTTTTGTCCCAGTAGTCTCATTCCACATAAGATAATGCATGATTGGAAAGAACTGTTTTTTAGTGGAAATCCCATCTATGAACAGACTTCTCTTAAACATGGGACTGCAGAGGCCACCGGGGAATATTTTATAGAGCTGGAGAAAAGGAACTTGCTTGATAGAAACGATTATGAAGACTATAAGGTACATACTTCATGGAATAATTTCAGTAAATGAAACACAATAAATTACTTTCCTTAATGCTAATTTGTGTATTTTACTTAAGTCCTATTAATGAAAAAAGGCATGTTATATTTGCATTTTCTCTTGTATTAATTCATATATATAACTAAGTTTTACCTGCTTAAAATATTCATCATTATTATCTGATGTTCATAATAATATTGGAGCAGTCTAAAAATAATTAACTGTAACACACTGAGCAAACAGATGTCAGAAGGATACCATGCTAGAATTTTTCTTTTATGAGCTTTCTATCTTTGTTTCAAAACTGTTGTTAAAAGGTTTCCAGGCAAAATGGAAAAGAAGGTGGTTATGGTTTAGAGTGGCATAAATCCATACAATAGTTTATGCAAATAACAAGAGTATTGGATACAAATTATACATTTAACATATATATTTCAGTTTAATATTATTTCACATTTAAATTATACATATTTATGAAGTCACTGTGATAAATTGGTATAGGCATACTATAGTTGGTTTATAACTATTTATGATCTATTTTGTATTGAGTTAAGAGAGTAGTTCAAAGAAATCATTAATATTTTAAGGAAATGGAAATACCACACTTGTCTGTTAGAAAGCTGCTGGAAATCTTTGGGATTAAACAGCGGGCATTGTCCACTGCTAACTGTAGACCTCGGGTGTCTAATCTCTAAGCACTGAAGACATTCGGTGCCTCAGTTTATGAAATCGTAATGTACCTATCTTATTTTGTTCTTACAAAGCACATTTAAGATGATACATGTTAAATGCACTGTGTATTAGATTTAAGTAATAAATACTAGTTCATTTTACTCCCCAGCTCTCCCCAGCTCTCCCCAGCTCTCCCCAGCTCTCCCCAGCTCTCCCCAGCTCTCCCCAGGTCTCCCCAGCTCTCCCCAGCTCATGTCATCCCACCCTTAGTAGTAAAGATGTAAAAGTGGTGGCTGTCGAACTCAGGTTCTGGGTAAATGTATAGCCGTGGAATGAAGAATGAGAATGATTATGTTAGAGTATCACTGACTTCTAGAAGGTTAGCAAATACAATATGAAAACAGGAATGAGTAACGGGATGAGACCTAATCATTCACTGATAATCAGTGAATAGTTAATAAACATTTACTATGAAGATGAATGCATAAGATGAATTCAAGACATTAACTAGGGAAATGGACAAAATAGTATGGATGTGTAGATCTTAAGGGAAGTTAAGACTGTGTAAAAAGTTAAGGAAACAATATCAGACTATGGGAAACGATGTGTAATCTTTATTTTAATTGAATGACAATATGTTTATATCCTTGATAGGATTATTATTTATTTTGGATTGAGTAGAAACTTAAGAACTACATATAGATGTTATTTTATGTGGCTGTGGAATAGTATGTGCACCTTTAGTATGCCAACCCAAAAGATAATGTCACAGGAGAAATGTCAAACTATGTTCAAGGTATTTCTTGCCATTATAGGTTAAGAAGCCATTGCTGCCGGTCGGTGGTGGCACATGCCTTTAATCCCAGCACTCGGGAGGCAGAGGCAGGCAGATCTGTATGAGTTCAAGGCCAGCCTGGTTTACAGAGTGAGATCTAGGATAGGCTCCAAAGCTACGCAGAGAAACCCTGTCTCGAAAAAACAAAACACAACAAACAAACAAAGGAAAATCATTGCTGTCCAATGAAAGCAGAATTATTTCTCAGCTTTTGCTGATTTGTAATTCAGTGTGTGTCCCTCAGTTATCTGTGGGAACAGTTTAGGCCACTCTGTACCTTTTCTCACTAGTCAGGAGACCAGGTAGGCCGCAGCTGAGCAAGGCTCTGTGTTTTTAACTATTTTTGTTGTTTGGGACATGGTTACCACAGGAACACATTTGTCTTACCCACATCCTGGGGCCCCCGGCATGTTTCTTCGTTGGCAGGAAGCTGTTGACTTTTGTTAGGAGTTTGTGAATATCTGTCAGTCAGTGCAGTTCCTTTTGTGTACTGTCTTTACTGTTTTTCTAGAAATGAAAATTTCCTTGCAGTTTCCTTGTTTATGTGCTTTGTTCTTCGTAACTGCAGCGTTAAATTAGGTCCTATGCAGATTGTCAGAAAAACTGATTTTTCAGATTCTGTTCACTATTATGAGAACTTTGTTCACTTGAAGAACTTCATGTAAATATTCCTACGTACAGAAAAAGTAAATATTTCAGCTCATAAAATATGTTATCAATCTTAACAGTCTATAGCAAATGCAGAATAGTTTATCCTGGTTTAGGTCATAAACTAGTTGCCCATATTTGTTATTGATAAATTGGTTCAAGATTTCTAATACTAGATGTAAATGCAGAACTTCAGGAGTATTTGCATTCTTGACATGCTTTATTGATAATTGTACCTTCTGTCCCCAAAGAACTGACATTATCCACATTTGAGCTCAGGACTCTAAGAATCTACACTATTGTGGTAATCTACCATCGTGCGCTATTTCTAAAATAGCTGCTTGTAAAGAAGTACTAGCCAGTGACTAATGTTTCTAGAAATTTTCCTATCTGCTAAGATGGAACAGCATCATGAAATAGCCATCCCTGGTCGGGGGTGGGTCCCAGGTAGTTGCCATGGGGTAAAGCATAGGAAAGAGCTTTTAACACCCAATAGACATGAGTAGTGACTCAACCAGGTATTCACCCAACCTTTCCAGCATAGCCATCAGCACAATCACAGATAGCAGCCAGGTTCATGGTTCCTCCTGGTGAATTTGTGATCCTCCCAAATCCCAAAGGATGTCCTGCCTGTGGGTCTTACTGGGAAAAGTCTTCTTCCACGGCATTCTATTTTTACATAAGCATCTTACTAACAGTTGCCATTGAGTTTAGGTGTTACAGTCAGTTTCTACATTTTTGGATTCTGTATCCACAGAGTCAACCAATCACTGTATCTCAAATAATTTTTCACATAAAGACCATTTTGTCCTGTGATTATTCCCCAGACAATATAATTGAATAACCTATTTTCCATAGGACTTACATCACCTAGGGTATTCTAAGCAATCCAGAGATTATTTAAAGGATACAGAGTGATGTTCATGAATGACATGAAGAACTCCAGCTTTTAATAATTTGAAAGAAAGCCATTTTCTTTTTAGCACATCATCTATCTTACTTCATCTTCTAGGCAATGATTTTTCTATCATGGCTATTTTTACTTTTAATAACAGTATGCTGTTTTGATTTATGATTGTTTAAGTTGGTGGTGGTTGGTTGTTTATGACTTTCCATGACTGGACTTTGTGATATATTTAATGTTTAGTGCTATGGTCCAATCTCTAAAGTCATGTCCCTTTAATAACACTCTCATCTTCAAATCTATGCATATAATGATATTTCTTTTCATCAGGAGTTTTTCACCAAATAATGAGAATGAGAAACTAAATGGGAGAGGAAGTTACTGTTCTCCTAAGAAGCCTATTTGAACTTGGAGATTTCAGGCATCATTTTGTTTCTGTTCCACATTCCACTCCTGATAAATGGCAGGCGCAGTCTCCTGTAGGCCAGGTGGACACAGTATCGGCTGCTGTGGGATCAATCACAATTGCAGTGACTCATGGCTGAAATGTTACCTCCCTACTGAGCTGAAGTTTTATCTCTACTCCTGATGTACAGTTTCAGGCTAAGAGGGTAATATTTTAATGTCTACAAATTTTGCCACAGCAGAGAAATCCCCAACATGTCTACTGTCTGATTGTCTCTAGGTAATAACAGAGGATGGCTGAAATCAGGAGTCAAAGATCCTTCCAAGTTCTTTTGAGAAGCAAGACCCTTGAGTTAGTACAGAAGTGATCTGAGGTAGACTGCTCTCTTGGCAAAGAATACTGCAGTTTAGACAGTTGTTTCTTGGAGTTTTGTTGTTGTTGTTGTAGACCAGGGTGGTCATAACCATCAGAATTGTTTTGTGGCCCTAGCATAGGGAGATAGGGTATAAAGTCCAACATGATATTCTCCCAAGGACACATGGGTATCAGGAGAAATTCATCAACAGTAAAGTCTTTTGGGGTTTTTTGTTCTCTAGTTAACACAGGACATTGTGATTTAGAAAGCAATGGCTGCTATGATTGTCTGCGTTCCAGAGAAAGGTTGTAGAAGGGACAGTGTAGCTTGCAGGACAGATGGAGAACCGTATAGGAACCCGTTGTTTTGTGATGACCAAGCTGCTCCTTCACTGCCCTCCCAAGTGAGTCACTGGGAGCCTATGTGGCATCTGAGAGTAGTGCAATCCCTTCCCATACAGAGTCTGCACTCTGTCTTCATTGAATTTGAACAACACTGAGTTCTTAAGACAGAGACCGTTTTATTTTTTGTTTTGTTTTTTAGCTACCCCTTGTAATCAGGCCTCCAGTCCATTGACTGTGGCTGCCTAATATATAAAGTTTTCTGTTTTAGATCTCAGAAGATGAAATTTTATGCTGGCTGCAACTGATGAACTTTTTGAGCTTCTGGTGTTAGAAGATACAGTGACTAGGTTGCATAGTAAGTTGTCAGGCTCCCTGAAATGTAGGCCTATGGTCTTCACAATGATCTGTGTTAAATGTTGGGTAACTGACCATGCTAAACTCAGACTTCCTTAGGGAAATAAGTAGAACCCTGATAAAATTGTTCTGGGTCTTCTTTTGTGTGTGCTAGTATCAAATATGGCTGTTTCTGTGATATTAGGTCATGCAAGATTGAAGGAAGCTGCTGTTAGGACACAAATCATTGGATAACTGAGAAATAGCACTCTTAGATCAAGACCTCTTTACATTTCCAGATCGTTCAGAATGAATGATGGATTAGTTAAAGGCCAAGGTGTTGGCAACCTATAATCTCGCTTCTAGCAAAAACACTATTTAACTAACTGTGGGTTTCCAGTAGCAAGTGAAATGGAGTCAACTTCTGCTATTCCTTTGTGACCATTGGGCTAAGTTTATGGTTCCTGGCAGTAGATTCAAGCTTCACTCTGGAGATACACCCATCCTGCCAATCTCAGTAAAGGGTAGGCACTCTCATCTCCTGGATTCTCTGGAATCTGAAGGCCAGACTCTCCAGGAGATACCTAACCACAGCCATCCCTGATTGGGACTCAAGTGACATCAAAGCTGCCAGGCTCTTTCCCTGAGTAAATATAGCATTGACAACTGTTGTGAAACCTCCAATACAGAGCCCATCCCATAAGAGTTCTTTGGTGGAATTTCAGACTATGGTAGCAGCCTTGCTAATCACCCTCTTCTTCTACCACCTTCTTGAAAGCAGGGTCCATGACATCACTTTTCCATTGAAACCTGGCTATCAAACCATTCCCAAATGGTGTTCTAGAAGCCCTGTGGGGCTATCAGATCACATGAGCTGAATAAGAAGTTACGCAAGATATGTAACCATCCTTTCTGCTTTTTCTTTGAACCAAGCTGTTCCATTAGCAGGGACCTGAGTTATGAAACATATATCAAGCCTCAGGGTTTTGGAGTAGTTGGAGGAGAGGAAGCATGGAGAGAGAAGACAATGACAGCAGAAGAGGACTAGGAGCTTCATTCCTGTCCCACTTCTCTGTGAAGGATGGCTTCCCTCCTCCCCCCAGAGCCAATTTTCCCAAATGTAAGACCTAGAGTATTGGCTCTAGCATCCTCAAGTTCTAGCAGCAAGAGGTGTGATCCCATTATATTTAATGCCTTCTGTAAACCGGTCCACACTGCCAGAAGTTCAGCCAAGAAATCAGGGGTGAGGATTTGTTGAGATTTCACACCTGGAGCCAAGATGGTCAAGAGTGTTTCTCTGAAGAGGCCAGAAAGAGGAAGAAGCAGAGGTGGGATGGAGCCAAGTCCTTTGCAGTTGGCCAGTGGTCAAAGCAAGCTGGGTTAAAACTAGATTAGAAAATGAAAATGAAGATGACATAGAAGAGGTTCTAAAGGCTTGGGAGCATGGTAGGCAATTGCTCTAGATATCTGAAATGCCTATGACTGATTCGCATATCTGTCAGTCATCTGATACACTCTTTAGTGTAAGCCTGAGGGAAATTCCATTATAAGAGTACAAAATCAACCTGGTCACACACAACTTCTTCCACAGAGATGATCTTACCTAGTTAACAAGTGGTTCTTATCCACTCCAGGACCCTTGGCTCAGCCCTGTGCTTATACTTTCCCACTTCCCAGCTTCTAATGACCTCAGTGTTAGAATTCTGCCTTACTCCAGTTGCATGACTGTACATACGCAGTTCAGGAGTTAAGCAAAGGGTCTTGTGTCTTACATCATCAGTGTGCACTGGTGATCTCATCTATGTGGCGTGGTCATACAATCTACGCCTTAAAGAGCCGTGACTCAGACCCCAACATCTCTGCTCTGCTCTGCTCTCTCTCCCCTTCCCACTATCTTTCTCTCTGACCTCCGTACATGCTCTTTCCCAGGCCTGGTTCTTCCCCCACCCCTTCTTCCTCCTAATAAAGCTCTCTGCTACCAGGTAGTGTGGCCATGGCTCATGACCTTTTTGCAAGATAACCAGCACCATTTAACATTCATTTCACTCTGACCCGAGTCCTCTTATGTCTTCTTCTCTGACATTTTTAGTGTACTCACTTTAGTTTCTGATGAATAATGTTTGGTTGCCTCTGCTGTCCAACTGTGGCAGGGCAGTTCCTAAGTGTGGTCTCCCTCAGGGGAAAATGTTTACAATCTCAGTTTCTACTAATGCGAGTACAGGTAATATTAGATTTCGGTTTTCTCAAGTGATGTTAACTATTTGTCTTGAGGATGCTTCTTTGTTAAAAATTAAAACCTTTTATCCATCACCTTTCTGAGGAAAATAAAATAAAAACTGAAATCTTGTTTACTATTATACTCAAAAGTGGCTTTATCTTTTTCTCCTTGTACCTGTTGTTTAAGACATCACACATTTATAAATTATTTCTCATTAATTTTAAAAGAAATGCCCTTTGCTGCCATTTGAAAGCAATTCTTTAGCTTAATGGAGATGATTTCTTAAAGCCGTGTTCTATTTCTTTTTTTAAAAAAAGTATTTACAAAAAGCAAAATTTTATTAATATCATTCAGGAAATGGGAAATTCCAAGATCAATTTGCAGGCAGATTTGGTGTCTGGTGAGTGCTCAGCATCTACTTCCAACATACCATTGATAGCACTGTGCTCACCCTGACCTGATG